TTTCCACTCAAATACGTTCTATTTTGTAGAGTTTCACTTAAAAATACTGACAATCTGCAGGACTTTTACCCGAAAAATTACAAGATAAATCTATAGCTTTGGAGGAATTTGACAAAAACTTTTTTCAGCGCCGAATTCGGAACAAAAACGGAAACAAATCTAATAAATCTCCCGTTTATTTCCGAAAATCATTAAGATTTTCTCAAAAAATGATCACACAACTAAAAGTTTTTAATCAGAATCGTAAAAAACCATTATTTTCTTCTTTTCTGACAGTAATGGGGTCTTTTCAGCCAAAAATTCAAAAATTAATTTTATGAGCAAATTCGCCTCATTAATCGGTTTGCAGGGAACTTTAGAAACCCCTTTTCAGTTTCGAATTTGGTACAAAAACCAAATAATTTTATTCAGTTTTTCACCGAAAGTAATTAGGACCTCTTGATCAGAGAGCAAAAGTTTACAAACATTTATTGGGAAAATTCGCCTCCTTTATCGCTCTGAAGAGTCGCTGATCAGTCAAGCAATTCTTTCTACGAAAAAAAAACGTATTATTTTTACGTAAAATACTGGCAATATTCAGGTATTTTTTGTGAAAATGACAAAATAAATTTTATTGGAACATTCGGCTCCTTTTACCTTTTACAGCTTAGAATTTTGGACAAAACTCTAATAATTTTTTCTGGATTTTTTCCCAAAAAAATTTCCTCGAACAGAACAAGTGAAAGTTTAGAATCAATTATTCGGAAAACTCGTCACTTTTGTCGCTGTGAATAATTTGGTTTATTTAAATTCCGATTTCTCCACTTTTATGTCAATATTTCTAAACAAAACTCTCTCTAAACAGAACAACGCGTTTTTTCCTAACGTTTTACTAAATAAAATACTGGCAAACTAAGAGTCTTTTATGCAAAAAGGTTAAAAGATGGATTTACAAGAAAAGTCGTCGTCTTTACAGTTTGGTCTTCTTTATCGTCTTTTTCGAATAATCATTTTCCGTTTAAATTTGGGTCAAAATCGAAACAAAGTTATTTTGTTTTCTTTTCGATAAAATGTTGGTTTCCCAAAAAACTACGAGAGAAAGCCAAAGGATATAATCAATATTTGGAAAACTCGTCACCCTCATCGATCTGAAATTTTTTAAAGTTTCATAAACATTTCCGGATTTTCGCGTTTTAAGCCAAATAGTTGCAAGCACTCGTATGCACAAAAGCAATATGTTGATAGCTTTTTTTGTTAGATGTTAAAATTTCGTGATCGGCCATGAGTTATAACTCATTAACCAATGAGTTAAGTGTGGCAATTATTAAAAAGCGAAATTGAAATCTGGGAAAAAAGATTACAGAAAATATGCCAAATCGCACAGTAGAAGTTAATATGGTTTCTAAATGTTACAGGATAATACTTAAACCTATAAAATAAATATGACTCTTATTTAGTTTTACGTATGTTTACGTATGTTTTTTTCATTATTCAGAAGATATATTAAAATATAACCCAAAAACCTCGATAGCAAAAGCTCCATTTATCCCTCCGGGTTAATTTGGATTAATCTGCTGTTCTAGTAGATATTGGTTTTTGAAATTCCCCCAAATTATGCGAATTTTATCTTAAAGTGGCAGGTATTTTTGATTTTTAAATGAGCCACTTTGTACACTATTTACTTTAATTTCCGGTTCGGAAATAAATTCTACAATTTTTAGTCATTTGTCTTTAAACGAAAGCATGGAGAAAGCAACGAATGCATTTATTGCATTGATTTTGCGCCCTAATTAGTGAAATTTATATAAACTTGTCAATTTTTATGATGAATGAATCTCTGTAACAAATATCAACATGCATATTCATTCTAGCGCATTTTATTACATTTTCAATTGAGAATCTCTTCATCTGTCGCTAGATAATTGAGAAATAACGGTTTCATCCGAAGCTTCTTTCTTCTAAAAACGATCAAAATCTGGCTTTGCTTTGAATGCAAGGAGAGCACGCCATTTTTTAGAACATTTGTCGAAATACAGAGTGTTTCATTTGAATAAACTTCCTTTTCTACTTTTCCTTTCTATTGGACTTTTCTGCAAGTCTTAATTTAGCGAAAATCCCCTACTTTTAAATCAATGTGCAACAAACTAAAGAACAAAACTACTATTTTTGACTTTAAATGAATAAGAAAAATTGTTCATTAATTCGATCTCGACTTCAGAATGCCTTATTATTAATTAAGAAATAGTTTACTCAGTGGTGTTTCAACGGTGTTTCAGATTCTTAAGATTGGATCTTCTTATTTTAGCAGACTTATAATGTTTACCAAAAATTTCATATTTTATTCCGTTATTATAAAATTTGCACTGCTGCATGTTGTTTGTTTTATTTTGGAAATCACCTTTTTCTTTTAATCCTTGTTGCAAGTTGAAGCTTGAAAATATGATTGTGAAGTTATACTATATTTTGACTTATAAAATTGAATTATGTATCTGGGGTGCAGTAAATATTGGTCATTAAATAGGGCGTCTAAACTGTTGCCAAAATTTACTGCGAATCAGTGTTTCGATTTAGGCGATGTGCTGAATCACAGTAAACGTTGGCAATGTAAAATACGTGTATTTGCTAAATTATTCTTCACTGCGCTTCGGAGCACAGTTGCTCTGTATAAGACTCGTACAAAGGTATAAAGTAAAGATTGGTAATACGCGCCCGGGATGCACGTTAGAGCCGTTTCACACGGGCCACTCAGCAGCGCTTCTCAGTGGCGCTGCTGAGAAGCGCGTTTTGAAGGCACATTGATTTACATGGAGCTATTCACACGGGGGGTGCGACCACGGATTTAGCAGCGCTTCTGTGGCGTTCAGTGGATGACTGCTGCCGAGAAGCGCTTCAAAAAGAAGCCCCACTGATAGCGATACATTGGTTCAGATGCTGGCGTTCACACGAGCCACTTCCATAGTATTATTTTACTTACTTTACTTACTCTATGGCCACTTCAGTCTGCTTCAGGTTAACGTGTGCTTCTCAGCAGTTCTACCGAGAAGCGCTGCAGAGTGGCTGGTACAATGTTAACGTGCGCTTATCAGCAGCGCCACTAAGAAGCGCTGCAGAGTGGCTCTGGTGAAAAGGCTCTTACACGCTAGTTTTGCTTATGAACGCGTTCCACACAATCTACGGAAATATAATTGATTCAAAATTTGGTACTTCCGGGGACAGAGTGACGATCGATTCATTGCCGGAGCTGCTTGCCAGCCATCTGACGCTTGGTGGTTGGGGAGAAATAAACTCCGAATTTTTCAAGTCGTCGTCCGACGACTTGATTAACACCATCAGAGAGCGGTTTGAGATCGTCAACAGCTCGGATGAAGCTCTAAACCGGGTGATTGAGGGACACTTGGCTTTCTACGAGAACGCGTACTTTTTGAAGCACATCGTATGGCTGCATCGGGGGAAAACCGCTAAGTACCTACATAAGCTTAGCACTTTAGTGGTGGGCCAGAGAAGGGAATAACGCAGGGTTTTAGGAACAGCAACTCACTAAGGCACCTGCATATAATGAGAGACTGCATCATCAACATGCCCGTATCCATAGGGCTGCAGAAGAACTCGCCGATAAAGCCGCGCGTGGATCAATTGCTCAGGCGAATGCTGGAAGCAGGTCTGGTGAAGAAATGGCTGTACGACGTCATGAAGGGCGCAGTCATACCAGACAGCGACACCGACGGCACTAAAGCGCTCATGAACCTGAAGAAAATGTATGGCGCTTTAGTAGCGCTTGCCATCGGATATGGGGCTGGTCTGCTGGCGCTGTTGGGGGAGCTGCTGCACTTCAACTTTACTGTTAAGAAAAACTGGGGTTTAACAAGTCTTATCCGAATGGGGCGCTAGCGAACCCTCAAAACTTCACTACTGAATTAAAAGAATCTAAATTTAACTGCTGGCCTATATGTTTATACGTAGGTATATAGATTTGTTGATATAATTATGTCCATATAATATAAAAACATATTTTAAAACAACAACGTCTATTTATTAAGATCACAGAATCACTGGAGTAGTACTCCTATAGATATAATCCTAAAAATATAGATATAACTTTATCACATGCCGCCCTAAATAATAAATAAATTTAAATAATATTCGCTTGTATAATTTAAGCGTCCGGGCATGATTATTAATTATTTTCTAAAGCTAACTGACAGCTGTCAGGATTATTTTGACATTTGATTTTATTAAAAATGGCCACTTTCGTCATGACAACTAAGAGTGGCACGATTTAAAATGGGATTGCAAAATAGCCATATAAAAACATTAAATTGATAATATTTCGAAAACTAAACAATTTTGGAATAGACCCTACACAAACTTACCCTTATTTTTAATACTAAATAAGATAAAATTATCAAATATGGGGGGTTTCCATTTGACAAAATTGATTTAGGGCGATTTTGTCAACGTCATTTAGAAAGTTATTTTTTTTTAACACTTTGCATTAAGAGTTATCAAAATTTTGTCGAAATTTCATTACAGTAAGTCTTTTTCAACAATAAATGCGACTCAAACTAAATATCACAAATCCCCTTATAGGAAAAATGAATAATTATTCGAGTGGCTGCAACTGTCATTTTTTGCATGCAATTTCAAATATATCGAAAACCGTTAGACTTAGGTATAGGATGATATACATGAAATATATTTAAAATTTGGAGCAGAATTTAAAATTGTAATGATACATATACAGGGTGTGTTATTTAAAATGAGCAAGTTGATACCTACCCTACTTAGTTTAGCCTACTCAAGTGTGGCCATCTTGAAAATATTTTCGGCTGCTTGCCCCCAATGAATTAAGCACACTGTCCAATTTTCAAATTTTCTCCTAACTACAGTTTGCCAGATATCGATCGCTGCGGTTTCCGGTGAGACACCCTGTATAGGTAGGTGTAGATAGGATTTCTTGATATAATATGTACATGTATATAATATAAATTGTACATACTTTCCTGACTGTGTTTCAATTCCAAATCAAAATCAATTCCTGGGCTTCAGTCATTTATTGTCTATTTATCAATTAAAATACGTTTCGGTGTTTTCCACCATCATCAGTTTCTGTGTGTAGCGTTGTTGATATTTTAAGCCTTGGCATATATTTGGACTATATATCCAAATATATGCGAAGGCTTAAAGTAGCAACAACGCTACACATAGAAACTGATGATGGTGGAAAACACCGAAACGTATTTTAATTGATAAATAGACAATAAATGACTG